CAGTGGCGATCCTCTGTGGGGGCCCTAAGCCAACATTCACTGGGGGCCCTTCGAACCAGCTTTTCATCATCATGCCCCCCCCCCGAAACTTAAGAAAAGAAGCAACATTTCACGGCGCGCTATGCCTTGAGGGGGTTTCCCGACATGTCGTTGCAGTAAGTTAAAGGGTGTTTCATGTTGTCGTTGCTGTGGACATTCTTAATCTACCTTCTTTGGGGGCCCCCTTCTGGTCCAGGGCCCCAAGCAGTTGCCTGCCTTGGGGGGCGCCCCTGCCTATTAGGAACTTATGCAAGGCAGATACAAAGACAGGATTAGCAGACTTGACTATGAATGCATAGATAACCCACATGAGTAATCATAATCATAACACTGAGGTAACCACAATACTTAAAGTGGACCCATCATGCTATATTTGAATAATATTGTAGCGACCCTGTATAGGAGGCTGAGGGTGTCACTCAGGCATCCCCCGTCTCTTGGCCAATCACAGAGGATGCTGGTCTAGGTGCGGGCCTGTGGTTGGGGGAGCGGACGGGGGAGGGCGGGGAGGTGGTGACGTAGACACTGGTATATATAGGTGTGTGTGTGGGAGTTATAGTTGTGTAAGGTGGAAACCCCAAGCTGTACCTGTACCTGTATTCCTATAAGCTAAGAAGAGTTATTAAAGCTTAATAACTTGAAGCCTGTTTCCGGCTCCACCTGTGAACGTTACAATATATTGTAGCCCTACAATATATTGTAACGTTCACAGGTGGAGCCGGAAACAGGCTTCAAGTTATTAAGCTTTAATAACTCTTCTTAGCTTATAGGAATACAGGTACAGGTACNATAATAATAATAATGTTTTTTAAAGATTTTTTTTTTTTTTTTAAACACCTTGAATTTCAAGGGGGGCGTTGGGCTCCGTTGACGGAGCGCAGCGCCCCTCCAAGACAATGGTAGGGGAAAGACTAAGTGCCAAGTTTGTATTCAGTCGAAGCTTGTGGCTGTTCTTTGTAGCATTTCATACAGTTTTTAACCATACCTTGACCAACGTTTTCGACAATGATAATGATTTTAAACAAGAGCAAGACAAATGTTTGTGCATAATTATGAGTCTGTATTGAGCTCTCCAGTGTCAATTAAACTGTACATACAGCCATATACACATGGGTACACTAGCTGTGTAGGCTACTATTGACTTTTGCATGTGCTGTATGCTTTATTCTTAGAAAAAAATCAAGGAAAGGCAGAAATACCAAACATAAACCATTACTGCAGGTTGGCATGTGTTAGTGGGAACTTACCACTACTAATTCTGCCTGAAATGCATAATCAATCAGACTTAAAAGCCCACTGTCATAGTAACCAATACCGATAACCAAATTCAATTATGACAAAATGAGACCGTTGGGGAAATCACCCAAAAAGTCAAATCATAAGCTACAACGTTTTTTAGTTTGAGTGTTTTTTATCAAAAAAAAGTTGTTTCTGTCTGTGAGCGTGACTCTATTTCTACCTGGATCTGCAGATTTTTCTACAAGGTGGGTTTAGATGGAGAGCTCAAGTACTCAGGGTGCATCAAGGGCACAATGCTATCTCTCTCTCCATGACACACACACACACACACACACACACACACACACACACACACACACACACACACACACACAGTAGCTTAAGTATGATGCTGCTTTTGTTGTGTCTGTCAGTTCAAACTCACGTCTCTGAATCTGTTCCAGGATCTGTCCTTGTACTGAGCCACGGTGCTCAGCCATTTCTCGTTACTGTTCCCGGAGCCCGCCGTTTCTCTGCTCAGCAGGAGAGCCACGACAGGTAGCAGAAAGAAGAACATCTTCTAAAAGCAAAGACAAAGAGTGGAGAGTGAGAAAAAACAAACAGAGAGGAACATAAGACGGATAGCCTCGTCAGAGTGCCAAACAGATGCTGAGGAAGAGGAGGCTGCAGCAAAGAGTTAGGGGAGCAGGCTGAAGTGAGAGCACTTTACAGAACGGAGAACTCTCACGGTGTGACGCATACTGGTCAGAAAGCCACAGAGGAGTGTAGAGTGCTCAATTTATCAAACTGCTGACCGTTCTTTAATCGGATTATAAACATTGGAGAGTTGTCACCGCGGCAGATGGAGCACCGCGAAACGATTAGCTCGTGAGCTTCCCCTCCGCCAATTTGAAAAGCAATTAGCGGCGTCAACACTATCTGCGCCCCCGCGGAGCTTTGTCTTGTTCATCTGTTTCTCCTCCATCCAGTGGCACAATGAAAGTCGACAATTACTCACTTTCAGTCCCAGTTAATATTTCTTTGACTGAAACAAATATATGAAAAACAGCCGTATTCGGTGCTTTGCCTACCTGGGATAGTTCGTTAGAGTTAAATGTGTCCGATTCCCGGGAATAAAATAAGTCCACGGCCCCGGGCACTCCGGTGGTACCTGACACTGCTTGTAGGATGGAAGGAAAAAAGGAGATGCGATGAAGAGCGTACAGGGAGCTTTCTCCTCCTCCTCGGTCACTAGACACCGCCTCCTTTCTCTTTCTCTTTCTCTCTCTCTCCTCCCCCCCCAGTCTCTGTCTCTCCTCCCCCCTCTCTCTCCCCTACACGCTCTCACCGTGTCATTGATTTTCAGCAGGGGGGTTTTGTATGTTCACACGAGAGCAGGATTCGGGAGCTGTGTCACTGCGTTGTTCTGGAGTGTACAAACACACATTTCATATTAGTCACGCGCTTCTGTTGAGGAATTCAAGCTAGAGTCCACTGTAGTAAATACAATTAAGGCATAAAGCATACAATCAGCGAAACGTCTCTAATTTAGTTCCCACAGCTGAAAGTGTGTGCGTTTTAGCACCATGAACCAAAGCCAGGCCATGTCAAAGAAAACACAGGGGTATGAACCTTGTATTGCTTTTGAAAAGTATAACCAGTTTGAATCTAGAATGGAAATAGTAAACAGAAACACTAAACATTATAAGGCATCACTGCAATTTATCTTTTTATTTCCTGTTCTTGCTGCGGAATTAGAGCTCACAAACAAAACTAAGCGCCAATTGTTTTTGTTGCAATGTGAAATCATGAGGTACGGTCAAGTTACCTACTAAAAAAAGTATTTATGATAACTGTATTTGCTTTATGTCTGCCCACATTACTGTATGGGAATTTAAAGTATGAATTGTGAGGGGGATGCTCATCACATGAGCAAATCTTGCTAGTGTTTTGGTCTCAGTTGGAGTCTTTGAAATACACAAGGCAGGTTTGTAGCAGCAGGCCTGTGAGGTTTAATGAAGCTGTTAAACACCGGGGTGGAGGAGCTGATCATGGTGCTGTACGTTTCTAACTCCAGCTGATAAAATGAACAAGAAACACATCAGGGAGGTACCATAATCATTAAAACAATAATTATGTACCCTAAATATGACTGTAGTTATTGATAATGGATCATAGGAAATAACAGCTGATACAGAGTTAATCAGTGTGATGCAGATGGAAAGTGGTCAGTAGGCAGATTCACATTAGTGAGAAACTAATTAGGATCATTGTGTTTAGATCATGCATCATATTAATAAAAAGTAGTATTAGTGTGTTAGCATAGTTTTTTGGTTGCTTTCCTGATCTGCAGCAGTCTTAATGACCGATACAGAGTGTGAGAAGACAAGTTGAGTATACCTGAAGACCCTAAACAAAAGGGATATATCCATTACATTTGCAGAAGCATGTACAGTATATCAGCCCGTAAGCAGCAATGGCTGATACATTTGAATAACTCTGACCCAAAACCTGGAAAACTAAAAAATATATATTGTAACTCAGATTTTAAAGCTGAAGCAAATTGAAGTCCAAGACAGGTCAGCTGTGTTGTTTTGATAAGATTACACTTAATTTCTAAATTGAGATGTGGATGTATTTGTATTTGTATCTAAAATACAATACATTTAACTTAACTTGTGGATAAAATTGAACTGGTAAAAAAAAACTTTTTGAAAGAAACTATAAAAAATAGTTGGACTATAGCTAACTAGATCCATAGGGGAAGTCAGTCATGACACCATTTTTAAAAATTGTTATCTCTATTGTTAAAAACATGTGTGTCCTACAACAGATGATGTGCCCTTCATAAAGCCAATGGATGGACGTGAAGCTTATAGTGAGACTTTGAGTCTCTCACTTTGCTTTCGTATTCTGTCAAGCACTGTGTGATTGGTGGAATTGGAAAGTCCAATAAGCAGCTTATGAGCTGAATGATAATGAGACACTTGATTTTGACGTTAAGAGACTCTTACAAGACATTTATATCCAGTACAAGTTAATAGTGAAGCAGCCCCTAATAAATGGGTACTCTGACATTTACAGTAAATCTGGATAAAGCTGAGAACATTGGGAAATGAGAGCATTTGTCCTTCTGCCACTGTCAAGTGTCTTATTTATACATCTACTTTCACATTGTAGCCTTTAGCCTTCAGACAGACTCAGCGTAATATATTTGTTTGAGGGCTAGTAAAATGTACCAAGAAAGCCTTAGGTTAAAACATTGGTTAAAGATTAAAACAAATAATATATATTTAAAAAAGATTTTACATTTGTACTTCTTAAATATTTAATACTTAAAATATTAATGTTAATGACCAATATATATTTAAAAAGTAATCGTGTTCACCATTTCTGACCATTGTTCAGTGCCTTTGTGTTTTTACAGCAGACAGAGACTCACCAATTTCTGAGTTCAAAGGATCCAATCCTGGCCCTACTTCTTATTTTTCTCTATATTCCAGCATCTAAGAAGGGGTGGATGAAGGACAAGAACAGCTTTAGAGGATCCAGTTTTGAATAATTAACATCAAAACATATGAAACAAAGCAAAGGAGTGCGGTGTCCCAGCGGTTAATTCACTGTTGTACATTCCCCACATTGCAAATGCAGTTGGTAAAAAGAAAAAGAGAAGGAAAACAAGACTGATGAAACCAGATTAAAGTTGTGAGGCTGGTGTGTGTGTGTGTGTGTGTGTGTGTGTGTGTGTGTGTGTGTGTGTGTGTGTGTGTGTGTGTGTGTGTGTGTGTGTGTGTGTGTGTGTTGGAGACAAGTGAGAAAGGCGCGGGATGTGAAAGTGTGCGGCTGATGTTTCACAGTGGGGTTTGATACACTGTTTCCTAATGAGCTATGTGTCTGTAACATAATTTGAGCATTAGAACTTCAGTTCCACTTGAGTGACTCCTGAGAAAAGTCCCGTCTGCCTGAGAAATAGACCATGTTCATAAAGCTAGATTATATGTGTTGTCCCGACGTGCACTGCGCAAAATGTTGCAAAATATAGCATTTCCATCACACAACAATGCACACTTCTGCCGGCTGCTCTTTGGGGCATTAGTAAATCCAATCATACATCTGACGTTTCACATATGATGAAAGGATATAACTCACGGAGCATGAAACCAACCAGCAAATGGGATAAAGAGTATAAATGTCTCAGCATCTCGATAGATGTTTTTACACGCCAGTACGTACCCTAATCAGTTCCTCATCAAGGACTCCAGTGACAGTAAACAGATCGTGTTGATGACTTGCCCGATCTATAAACAGGACTAATCTAGCATCCAAATAATAATGGGATAAAATCCAGCATGAAAACGCATCTGACTCTTTTAGAAACAACCCACCCATCGGCTTTGATGTCTTCCTCCGTCTTTCGGGCACTACTGCATTTATATGTCATCTTTTTCAAAGCAGAGAGATGGCTGCCTTTTTGTCATTTCCCTTGATATCTGCTTGAAAAGCTGGTTTGTTAAGGTTTGGAAAGGTCTAAATGATCACAGCATTTTTTTGTTGAGATGTAAAAGATGCTTTAGCCTAAAAAATGAGACGGGACAAAATGGAAGGAAACAAAAGAAAACTATGAGAACTATATTAACATAACTAAAATGGGATGTATTTACATTTAAAAGTATCTCAGCTAGTTTCTCTCCACTGAAAGCTGGTCATTGAAAGACACCAAAACAGCTTGTTATAGATAAGAGCTGAAATTGTTTAAATTAAATACAACTTTTGTTAGAAGTTTACACAGTGGCATGCCAATTCCAGATAATCAGGCTTTGTTTGGGCTCCAACTGTAGGAGTATCTTTATTTAGAGCACATGTAATATATTCCTGCATAAGACCGTAAAGTCATGGGAATTGCATGCTGTTCGTCACATAAACATGTAGCAGCTTTGCTTCTCTTTTGTGCTTCTGTTGATTCCTTAAAACAATATAAATCAGGATTGTGCAGCAGGGCTGAGAGGTTTAATGAGGTAGGTAAACGCTGCAGTCTGAGGAGCAGTCCGGCGTGCTGATAGGGGCCGATCAACACATTAAGAAACAATCTAACAAATTAGAAAATGTTTTTTGGTATTAGGTGAAAAGAAAATGGTGCTCTAAAATGGGCTTTATGTGAGGAATACCATTACTTGTTGGGAGATTGCACTCCCAGCTAATATTGAGTTTGATTGTGTTGATGTGGAAATCACACTATCTGAGGAAATGTCCCTCACCATGATTTGCCGATATCGACAACCCACCGCTAAGGTGGATTTCTATGATCAGGTAAAACTCATGCTGAATTCCTGACTCCAACAAAGAGCTAATTATTGTAGGAGACTTTAATATCAACTGGAATGATAAACAAAATAGAAATAACTTAAAACGGATCACGGATAAACACAACTTAATACAACTAATGGATCAACCGACTAGAATAACCTAAACCTCCAAGACTATGATAGATTTATTATTTACTAACAAAGCTGACAGAATAGTTAAAACCTACAACTTCCTGACTGGTCTTTCTGACCATAATCTTGTTCTTTTTACCAGGAAACTCACAAAAAAAGGTTCATGGCACACCTAAAACCCCTGCCTTCGGTTCTCGCTTCATCCCCAAAAATCTGCAACAACGTTTTATGGATGCAGTGAAAATTATTGATTGGGGGGACACTCTCTCCTCTGAAGATATTGGTGAAAACAGTAATACAGTTTATATCTAAAATTAATGATACAATGTCTTCCTTCTCAAAAAGAGGGTGCGTGAGAGGGTGCGTGAGAGGAAGGAACATCATCTTCCCTGGCTGAATCTGCAATGCAGGAATTTAATGAAAACTAGAGTCCAAGTATTAAGGCACAGCTTGAAATCCGGACTATCCACTGATAGACAGAGATTCACTCATGCTCGTAACAAAGTAACACAAACAATAAGACAGGCCAAAGCTAACTTTTTTCTCAATATAATTGAAGGTGCGAAAGGTAACGGTAAAACTGAAATACGGGATTGTCGCAACTCTCAATAGCTTCAAAGGTCAACTCAAAGAATGGTTGAGAAACAAACATCCATGCAATCACCGCTAAATGCACTTTAATACAGGGGTATCTCCTCTTGCACTTTAGGTAGCTCTTGCATCCACGTTGAGGGCTGGACCATTAACTGTCATCTGAAGTCGGGTGCTGTTTTGACCATTTTCATATAAGTTACGACAACATCGTGTTTTTTGGCGAGGGATAAGTTTCCATTGAAACAGCCTATGGTCAGATCTCAGATTTGGCGTAGAGCTGTTGAGGCATGGACCGGTGATATACAAGCAAAGTTTGGGGGACGATCG